TATAAAACATTTATGTTATAATTTCTAAATAAAGAATTATATATATATATATATATATATATATATATATATATATATATATATATAGGAGTGGGATAGAAAGAGGAAATATCTGGTTAGCAAGGTCGAAATACTGTTTTTAAACTACAAATTCCCCATGATTTCTCTCGAACGATATCTAAGGTCCAATCAGCAGTGTTGAAATATAAATCACAAGTTGGCCGTGCAAATATTGAAGAAATACAAATGTGTCTGAGCGGGCGTCTGTAACAGCTAGCTACCTTAACAGACAGTGCATATTTATAAACGTGCAGCAAGCCGCTATATAATGAAACCGATGATTGCCTTTTGAGTGTTTAGAATTGTTGTTAGCGACCATTACCGACCCAGCATTGTACAGGGTGCCCAGTAAAAAAGCGGTAAATTCATTATCATTGTTTTATCTTTCAGGAATAATGGACCTTGAATAAGCTTGAATAAAGTTCTTGAATATTCATCATCTTGAATAAAGCCCCCTCCTGGTTACTAGGTTGCAATTGTGTTGACCATTTATGGAAACATTTCAAACATCCAAGATGAGTTTTTGCATGAATCATGATAGCTAAATAATTTTTTTCTGAATTTACCGCTTTTTACTGGGCATCCTGTAGTACTACGCTTTAATTCGTGTAGTCAGGGCACCAAGGAAAAAGCCCGTCAGCGCAGTTGCCATCAAAATATTTCTAGAAAAGACAGAGGGTAGCCACGTTACGTCGGTGAGAAAATTACTGAAGTCGAGATGCTAGGTCAGGACTGATAACATTACAGACCCTTCTTTGGATTTTGTCAAGAATCTCGACATATATAGCAGGATCACCAGACCAAATATGGCAGCAATATTCAATACACGGACGAATGGTAGATTTATAAATGTGCAACATGGATTCTGACAAGAATGGTTTTCCGGCACGATAAAGTGGTGCTAACATTCTTTGCAGTAGATGCAGCTAATGACTCGATATAGTCGCTCCACTTCCACTCAGTTGAAGCCGTGAGGTCAAGAAGGCGCGGTGAAACGCTCTCCTGGAGTCAAGCGTCAGAAATGTTGATGGTAGGGAAAAAATGTTTCTCTATATTAATTGAAAGCAGTTTTATTTTGAAGGCGTTAAAATTTACAATCCATTTACTGTCGTTGTTAACGACTGATTGGAGCGGCCAGGTTTATTTTGTCAGCTCTGACTGATTTGCGATTGAGAGATGAGTAAATGGTAGTGTCATCTGCATAAATGCCTAGTTGGGAACTGATGACATCGATAAGATCATTGACGAAAATCAGGAACAGCGTAAGACCTAGGTGTCAATCCAGCAGCACGATTAAATTCATATAGTCAGAGCACCAGGGGAAAAACCTTTCTAGAAAGGCAGAGGGAAGCCACGTCACGTCGGTGAGAAAGGGATTGAAGTTGTGTTGCCTGGTCAGAATCGATTAAATTACAGATTTTTCTTTGGATTTTGTCAAGAATCCAGTTATGTACAGCAAGGGCGTTAGACCAGATATAGCAACAGTATTCAATGCACAGATGAATTGCCAATTTTCAAATGTGCAAAATGGATTCTAACGAAACATGGCATGACACAGTGGCCCAAACTTCCTTGCAATAGATGCAGCTACTGCTTCGATATAGACGTTCCACTTCAAGCCAGTGGAAAACGTGAGGCTAAGTACCCACTGTGTATTGCACTCCTGGAGTCTAACGCCAGTCATGCTGATGGCAGACAGAAAACATTCTTTATATTAAATGAAAACATTTTTCTTTTTGAGGTGTTAACATTTACAAGCCGTTTCCTGTCCCAGGTAAGCACTGATTGGAAGTTCTTTTAAAGAGCATCAGCAAAGATAAACTTTGTCATCTCTGGCAGATTTCGTATTGAGAGATGAGTAAATGGTAATGTCATCTATATAAATACCTACTTTTGAACTGATGACATCAGGAAGATCATTGATGAAGATCAGAAACAGCGTAGGAGTCGGGATAAAGCCTTGGGCGGGGGGTCAACCTCGTTGCTATGAAATGATCTGGAAGTGAGCCCGTTCAAAACTATCTTCATTTCACAATTTGATGGAAACGATTGATTTTAAATCAAACATTCGTCCCTATGACCCTGTAGAATTGAATCTTATGTGGAAGGTCAACATGTCAAACCCTGTTGAACGTCTTCGAGATATCTAGAGCAACAGATTCGCCGTCCTTATTTAGAGTCTGGTATACAAACTCTATGATGGCCGTTAACACATCAACGGTAAACCTGACGAAAAAAAAAAATAGAAAAGGAAACTGTGGAGACACATTATCGCCTTCTCTCTGAATAGAGACAGCATGAAAAATATTCCTGTCAATAGTCTGCTTTGGTCACTTAGATGCTGTCGAATTTATTTTGAAGACCGGTTTCCTGGGAGGGGGTTTTCAGCCCTATATCCTGGACTTCACAAATATTTGTATGATATCCACATTTCTGGTTAGGTTACTGTTATATACCATATTTATTAACACTAATGGGTATGTCCCAATCCTCATAAATACGTTGGACGCTATTGTATGTGGGGGTAATATGCTAAGTAGTTCATCACTAGCAGTGGGTTACCTACTTCATGCAGCTGGCGAGTATTGTATTTTATTGATGTTATAAAGATTAGCATTTCATTTCCAACCTCCGTTTTGGTTATTCCTCGTTCAGTAATCCTTTCTAGGTATGTCGATTTTATATATCAACCCTCGTTAGTTTATTTAATGTCTAATTTTACTATGGGTCACCCAATGTGAATCAAACTCTCTATTCAGTCGCAATGGCCAACAAGTCTAGCCTCGTTAACCATTACCTTAAGCTGGGCCTCTATTTTGATCGGTTGGTTGATTTTACATGTCATTCCTTGTTGAGTATTTTAATGTGGAATGTTTTATGAATCACCCAAGGAAGATCGAACCCACTGCGGCCAGGTTTACTTACTGACAGATTTGCTATTGGAAAACGAGTAAATGATACTGTCATCTGCACAAATATCTAGTTGGAAACTGAATCTACAAAAATAAAGAACGAATTTTCTTGGTGTTTGCTTTTAATGATAATCCAAATAGGTACATAGTCTTAAAAGAGACATTTTAAATCTTATATTTGTCTGTGGGCAGTGTCCCTTCAGGAATTGTCTTTTAGTTTTTTTTTGTTTTTGTTTTTGTGACTGCGGGAACGACGTTGAAGAGCTTGGATCTGAAGCTCGTTATCCGTTTTAACAATCACAAAATGACAATATTTTAATAGGGTTCCCTCTAAACAAGACAGAAAAGCAACTGAGACACAAGGGATCACTTGATGTGGAAGAATTAGAAAACAGAAACATTACTAAGAAGCCAGAACAAAAGAAGAGTAATCAGGAGAACAGTAGATACCGATTAACATTGCATTTAAATTTTTTGAGCATTAAAACTAGCTGGAAAGCATGAAGCCGAAAGGGAGTTCCACAAGCGAGAAATGCGAGAAAATAAATTGTTACATAGACCAACACAACTGTAAAGACCTCGTCGCCAGTCTAGTACTCATAAAGTCAAGGTACCATAGCGAAGAGCTCATATGAACAATTACTATAAAAGTAGTTATAGAAAAATCAGAGAGAGGCAAAATTACGCCTGTGGAAAAGTGACTGAAGCCGAGACGCCATATTAGGACCTATAATATTGCTGCTGCTTCTTTGGATTTTATCAAAGACCTAGATATATAGCAGAGGCACCGGGTCATATATGGCACAATATTCTAAGACGAATGAGAGACATAGATATGTAAGACAGATTCTGGAGAGAGAAATTGTCTAGCAGTGAACCAACTTTATTAGCAAGTGATCTAGCAATCAATCCAATATAGTCTTTCCACTTCATGTCAACCGAGAACACTGGCTCGAGATAGCGCAACGAGTCACTTTTCCTGGAGGCCTACATCAGCCATGATTATGGAGAGTAGAGAGGGGTGCTTCAGAGCATTTTAATTTTTAGTTTTTAACCCTAGAACACTAACCATCAATTAAAGTTACACCACTACTTACCATGGGTATATCATATCAAAAAATATTTTTTTTTAAATTAAATATAAATCTTTATTTGAAATATTTTACATGCAGGCACTTCAAACTTTGTACTTTGAGTTAACATTAATAGGAACTAAAAACATATTATTTAGGTAAGAAAATCAGGTACTGAAAATTGTAATTAAAAATAGGAAAATTTGCGCTGGGTACTATATACCCATGATTAGTGTTCTAGGGTTAAGGCGTTAAAATTAACAGGCCATTGTTTGCCGCAGTTAAAAACAGACTTAATTAGAGACAATTCTCATTATTTTACCATAGCACAGGATTTCAACTTACCTAATCATAGTAGAAAAATGTCGAAAATGGAGTCTTCAGAATACTTATATAATGTAACATTACCGGTTTGACAGATCTATTGATTTTCAGAAGTTAAATTGAGATGGTGACGTGTGGCTACGCCATGATTTGTTTCACATCTGATGGAATCTCGAATTGTTTTAATTTATTGCTTTTTAGAGTTTGTTTTAAATTCATACTCTAAAATGGTGACTTAAATAAATGTTGCTGAAAGTTTCCGTAAGAATGTTATTCGAAGAGAAATATTGACGAGGCTACCAATTCAGGTAAGTGATTAGAGGGTCAAAAAATTCCAACCTGATAAATACTTCGAAATAGCCTAACTCAGGCAAACAGATTACTTGCTGAACTACCGAAAATAATCTTTAAAATGTCAGGCAATTTTAATTCTGGTTTTCTAAGAATAACTTTTTGTTTCAACTTCATAGATGTAAATCTTAACTTTGTAATGAACACAAAAAAAAAATGAATTCAATATTAAATAAGATAAAAAACAATTCGGGTTGAAAAAATTTGCCCTAGTGAAAAAAAAAGGTCTAGTGTGTGGGTGTGTATGTTAGTATTTAGTTTTAGAGGTAGCCAATTTTACAAGCGAAGTTAAGAAAAAAAAGAAAGAAAGAAAGAAAGAAAGAAAGAAAGAGAGGGAGAGAGATAAATTAAATAAAAAAGGAGAGTTTGGATAAAAAAGAAAAGTTTGATTCATTTCTTTTTTTTGTTTTTTTGTTTCTTTTTTTGTTTTTTGTTTTGTTTTTTGTTTTTTTTACAGTTTATCAACTTTTGTAGGTTATTTAAAGCCGGAATATATCTGGAATTTTTCGAGCTAGGGTAGAGGTAAGATTCACTGGATATATCCACTTATCCTCAAAATAGTCACTCCATTTTCCTTTTACACACATGCAACAACTTCATTGAGTAAATCTCTACTTTGAGTGGCTCTTAGGCCTTGTATTAGGTGAACAATAGTTTAAATAATTATATTTGTGTTATTCCATTTATGTGCATTTATTTCCAATTCTCCACGTTTTTTCCGTTTTCTACTGATTCATTTTGTTTTCATCGGTGCATATGGAACCCTACAATAATCCCTTTTTCTTCCTTTACTTTTATAAATAGTTTTTCTTTTTTTATTTTTCTGTTTGGTTTTGTTTCTTTAGTTCAACATTATCCACTTTTACATTCGATTTTTCAAACGTTATCGTATCCAAATCCACACATACAGGATCCTATAATAAAATGGCATCTCTGCTCAAAGAAGATAAGAAACATTTTCTTTCAGACACGACACCGATAATTCCGTTCCGCTCATCGTTTGGAATCAATTCTTTGGTAAAAGAGAAAAAATAACAGATAGAAAGATGAACAATTTCATCAGGTACAAAAAAAGTAGTGCGTATGTCACCACGTCACGACCTTCATTCTTTTTGACGGATTATGTCAGACGTGAATTCAATCAACGTACATATATATATATATATATACTTATACATATATATGTATATTGTTTCTGTATTTAGGCAGCAATCCTTCTTTCATGCACATTTCATTGAATACGACAGACAAGGTGCTTTGATTTAGTTTTTTATACAATTTCTCATGTGATGTAATATTTTTTTTCTTTTCAGAGGATAATTATATAAGAACTGTCCGAATGTTCTTTTTTTCCGACAGCTTTCGGATATACATTTAGCCATTTTTATGGATTAAATATTTTAACTGTTAAATAAGAAATACATTACGAAATATATGCAACAAACTATTTCTGCACATAACGGTTTGTAAATTCGTTTATATTTACTTTATTTATTTATTTATTTTTTTATTTATTATTTATTTATTTGTTTATATTTACTTTATTTATTTATTTATTTATTTATTTATTATTTATTTATTTATTTGTTTATTTTACTTTATTTATTTATTTATTTGTTTATTTATTATTTATTTATTTATTTATTTGTTTATATTTACTTTATTTATTTGTTTATTTATTATTTATTTATTTGTTTATATTTACTTTATTTATTTATTTATTTGTTTATTTATTATTTATTTATTTATTTGTTTATATTTACTTTATTTATTTATTTATTTGTTTATTTATTATTTATTTATTTATTTATTTGGTTATATTTACTTTATATATATTTATTTATTTGTTTATTTATTATTTATTTATTTATTTATTTGTTTATATTTACTTTATTTATTTATTTATTTGTTTATTTATTATTTATTTATTTGTTTATATTTACTTTTATTTATTTATTTATTTATTTGTTTATTTATTTATTTGTTTATATTTACTTTATTTATTTATTTATTTGTTTATTTATTATTTATTTATTTGTTTATATTTACTTTATTTATTTATTTATTTGTTTATTTATTATTTATTTATTTATTTGTTTATATTTACTTTGTTTATTTATTTGTTTTATTTATTATTTATTTTTTTTTTGTTTATATTTACTTTATTTATTTGGGTTCATTGATTTTGTTTTATATTTTTTTATTTATTTATACCATTTCGTCTATTCTGACGGATGTGATTTGGTAATTTGTTTGGGTTAATTTATTTTATTGTCATTCTGTTTATTTATTGTTCTATTTATTTTTTTATTTTATTTATTTTATTTATATATATATATATATATATATATATATATATATATATATATATATATATATATATATATATATATATATATATATATATATATATATATGTATATATATATATATATATATGTATGTATGTATGTATGTATGTATATATATTTATTATTATTATTATTATTATTATTATTATTATTATTATTTGAAAATAGAAATTAAGTGCTATGAGAATATGTCGGTTAGATAATAGATGATCCTAGTGTTGAAGAGTTTAATATTGTAGTGGTCCAGGTCTCGTCCTCTCCAGAGTCTATTCGACAACCTGACAGTATTGGGAGAAAAGCCGTCTGAGTAGACCTTCTTCCTTACTAAAGGAATAAGAATGTAATGATCTTACTGGGGGATATCAGGACCGTAGACCGTCTGAACATTTACCATAGAAATAGCGCTAGACAAGTAAGAGGCTAGCAACGTCTCGACTGTGTGAAAGGGTAAATAATCCGGAAGACGGCGCAATGGTTTTTAATCTCTGTCAAGGCTGGACCGTGAAGATTGTGCAGCACTAGGACAAATATGGCAGAAATATCGCATTCAATAAAATTTGGGAGAAAAATATGCGAAAAAAAAAACTAAAAATAGCAGACAATCAGGATTTGGTTGATTTTACAACAAATCATCATTTCGGTCATTTAGCGTTGAATTTTGTACGAGGCACTGAATAAGGGCCAAACTCTCTACTCATTAGTAATATTTAAACAGAAATTCTCACTTGAGATTAACCCCAAACTAAGGTGCCGTAAGGTTTGGTAGGTAACTTTTACGACATTTCTATGCTTGCTGGCCTTTTTTTAAATCATTTCACCCCCAAGCAAGGCGATAAGGCCACAAAGACGCAATGAGGCTGGGGGGGGGGGCTACTGAAAGTGAGGGGGGGCTACTGGAAGTGAAAGAGAAGGAAAAGACTTTAGAAGAAATGGGAAACCCAATCCTTAACAGGGAACAAGGGATTAAAACTCGAAATTTTTACCATTCTTTCTTTTGTTTGTTTGTTTTGTTTTTTTTTTTTGTAATCAATTCACCTCATACAAGGCGATAACACCACTAAAACCCAACAGTACTACTGGAATTGAAAGAGAAAGAAATGATTTTAGAGGGAAACTGAAACAATATCCTAAACAGGAAACGGAGGATAAACCTCTACTTCTGCTCAAAAGATTGAAGAGGAGTATGAACAAGACGCTAGGTGAATCTAGCCATTCCTTTTAAGGAAAAGACTAAAGTATAATTTCATGACTTTAGACGGAGTTGTTAGTGAAGATCGAACTTACTACTCATGACCAACCAGATATGCTTCGCTTACTCATAACCCCACACTAAGTTAGCCTGATTTATTTGATAACAAGTCAACCATTGTTGCCTTATTTTGAGCCCTGACCACAGCTTTACAGATGTTAGAGAAAAATGACGTAATGCCCAGCCACCGGTTGAACGGTGGTAGAGAAAAATGACGTAATGCCCAGCCACCGGTTGAATGATGGGTAAACATTTGTAACTATTTTTACATCTACCGTGAAATATTACATACCAATTATTTGCGAATTTTGACTCAGGAGCAGAGAGTAGAAGGGTTAGAATTGTTCAGGAACACGGTGCTCATAGGGTTAATGTCCAGTTTTGTATAGGGCCCGGGCAATGAGACAATAGATAGGAATGACAATGTAAGCATTAACATAGTACATTGTTTTGCCTGTTGCTCTTGCAAACGAATGATTCTAAAATGTAAATGAATTACACTGAAGCTTAATAAATATGACCTTGTACAAAATTCGGCACAAATATCTAAAATGCAAAACTAACAAGAAGTAGTAAAGGCCTTTTGACGAAATCGCTGCAAAACTTAGAGAAAGAAAAAAGTGAATACACGAATGAAGTGTGGGAGGGGGTTAAAAAAAGAAACAAAGAAAGAAAAAAAGAAGCGAAATAAATAGGATCTGACTCCAAGATTGATTTTTTATGGTTTATCAATCCTTTGTATGTTATTTAGAGCCGGAATATATTTTTGGATTATAATAATTTTGTGAAGATAATAATGATCTTTCGATACATGTACTACTGTTTTAACCACAGCTGAGGAAGAGAAGAAGTGGATTCATACTTTTCTAAAGGATATTTGCGTGTAAATGAAAACAGCGAACCCGACTGGAATTGAAACTCGACTATCCGATTTCTCATTTGAAGCCTTTATCCATTACACCAGCCGCACATCCAAGTTTACAGTACCTGCTATTCCCAAGTACCAATCTAAATACCGTCCCGGGTAAGACGATAAACTACATCCGACAGCAAGGCCTTTGATCAGAAGGTTTTGATGAGTGTGGAACTATCTCTTAATTTCTGGAGTTCCCAGGTCGACCCATACCCAGGGTGGTAGCACCTGTCAGGGTTCCAGCTATGGGCAAATAGTTAACCCCACAAAAGCGGTCAAAACACTATGAAAGTATAAAAACAGGTTTTAATATCAGCAATACATTTTTCGAGAAATTTTTACCAGCAATACACTTTTGAAAAAAAAATATTCCCAGCAATACATTTTTGAAAAATATATTTTAACAGCAATGACTTTTTGAAGAAAAAATTATTACCAGCAATACATTTTTGGAAAAAAAATATTGCCAGCAATATATTTTGGGGAAAAATATTATCCGCAATACGCTTTTGAAAAAAAAATGATAGTACCAGCAATACATTTTTTAAAATATATTACGACCAATACAATCTTGAAAAATATATTTTTACTAGCAGTACATTTTTGAAAAATATATTTTTACCAGCAATGAATTTTTTAATAAAAAATTATTACCAGCAATACATTTTTGAAAAAAAATATTACCAGCAATAAAAATCTTGTCGTCATTAAATAACCCATTGAGTTTGATATGACTTAAAACAAAAAAAACAAACCAAACCAATCTAAATACTGACCAGGCTTGATATTTCTTAACTACAGTATTCGAACGTGAACCGGTGTTTTAAAATGAGATGGCCGTAAGCCTGGAATAGGAGGAAATAGGGAACTAAATTGGGAGT